GTTTTGTACAGTGTTGTGAGCTGCTGCTATATTAATAAACTGAACTAAATAGAGTAATTTTCACAGTGGCTGATGTCTGTCTCTCATTAACTTGGCAGTCAGGGAGTGACAGACTCGTGTGTCATTGCCATAGAGACCATAATGGCAGCAACCTTTTGATCTTGATTCATTTTACACACATATTTTAAACATCTAGTTTTTTTTCTCAGCTTAAATTATTGCAAAATTACGTTGGCATTCTTGGCAGTAGCTGCCTTTACACCCATTAAAATTTATTCAGAACATTTTAGATTTTAAATTTTGTTTGATTTTGTTTGTTTACTTTCTTTAATAAACACTCATGTTGGGACTCTAAATTTATTCAACCATATTATACTCCTGTTCCTTAAAATATAAAGCCATAGTACCAGAGCACAAATAACATATGAAAACAAGAGATGTGTGTTTTGTTTTACCTTTAAACAGAAATATCCTCTGACCAAAACAAACCCAACCAAAACATCTTAAAGCCCTGCGGCAGCTTGTTTGGTTCTCCACTCTGAGAAGAACGAAGCAATGTTTACGTTGGTCTTATTTGCTCTCTTTCATGGAGGCTTTTCATCCAGAGAATGCAATTTATTTTATGGAACAAAGTGGATGCACTTGAAGCACTCAGATGCACAGCAAAGCAGCAGAGGGAGACAATAACATCAATATTTTTACATTGAGAAAAAGTTGACATTTAAAACGTATTTTTAATTTGTCTGCATTTAAGACAGATAATGGAGGATATTTATATCTTGCTTTTTGGTAATAAAAAATACAATTCTAACTGATTTACCTCTTTTCACTTCATTGACATCATTCCTAATAATTTAAGTAAGATGTCAATGAAATGAAACAAAATTCACTGTCAAAGTGAAACTAAGTTTCTACAAAGTAATTAGATTAAGTAAAATACTGTAAGTAATGGCACAAAGTAATGCTAGTTAAATCTATCTATTAAGTAAAATAAGTAATTGCATAAATATCCGCCCCCTTTAAAATGACTGTCCTAATTCAACTCAGAGAAAAGATTTTTGAAAGTCAAAGATCCCAAACATCCCCAGGAGTTCTGTTAAATCTAACATCAAGAAATGGATGAAATATGGGACATATTCAKCCAAGGCCATTCTCACAAACTGAATGACAGTGCAATAAGGAGAATAGTGAGAGAGACCACCAAGACACCWGTTAATCTGAAGGAGCTACAAGCTGCAGCATGTGAGATGACAGAGACTGAGCTACAACAACTGTCCATGTTACCATTTGTAGCTTAAATCCCAAGAGGCAGGCAAAAACCTCTGAGGTAGAAAACAAAGTATTTATTAAAAGAATAAAGATGCTGACAGGGCAGCAGAAGAACATACTTAAAAAAGCCTCTCAGAAAATCACAACAGACATTAGGGAGTACAATGAACTGACAGGGGAGTAAACGAGCACACAATGAGAAACACCTGGGGGAGAAAACATGAGGATCAGGTGYGCATGGGAGGAGCTGGGGAAGAACACAGAGGCAGGTACGCAGAGGAAACACTGGAAATAAATACATGAAAGATGAAAACAAACAGATCTTTACATTTGACAGGTTCTTTACCTGTCTGAGTCTTATAAGAGAGTGATAAAGAGACAGTCACTTAAAAAATAAGCTTTAAATCTCTATTAGACTTCGTAAAACTTGAGTTGAGATTTCTAAAAAAAAATTTAAATGAAAAAATCTGGATTGTCTCTAAATAATCAAGACAAACTACAGTTCATCCAGACTGTTGATCCATTTTAATTGATGATCACACTTTGATCCAAATGACCAGTAAAAGTAAAGTCAGCAGAATTAGCTGCACATCTGTGCCCAAAGCATCTGTTTCATTAGAGGGTATTTTTCAGAGGCAGGACTCGTGGTGACTTCCACTTGTATGGATGTAGTCATTTTTAGCAAATACATGCACAAGTAACGGTCTAAAGTAGGGGTGCATCAATTGCAGTTTTCTGGCCGATGATCAATCTTTAAAAAGTCTGACCTGTCGATTCYAATTTTGGCCAATTTTTTTAAAATAATTGACACTGTCAGGTGTTATAAGGTCACAACTCACCTTCAGTGTTCCAATCTGATTGAAAAACATTGAACAATAACCTTGAAACAACACAATTTTGTTTTAATTGGGCATTAAACAGCGCTCACAGCAGAGCAAAAGGGGATAGTGGCTGATTTTCAGACCTTTGTGGACGTAGGTGAGAAGCCAGTCTTTCCCACCAGTCTTATCCAAGAATGAGCCGMTCTCCAATCTCYCAAAATTAAGGAAATCGTTGCAGATGAATTGGCCGTCCAATTTACTGATTCACCTCTAGTTTGAAGTCAGTTCAATTCTGTTTATATAGAGCCAAGTCATGACAAACATTGGGCCTCATGCAAGAACATGTTCGTATTCTTTTCCTAAATTTCTCTTACTTTTGTTCGTACAAAGGGTTCGTACGAACATGCCACATCAGATTCAACAAACTCTTCTATCTTCAGGAAAMGTGCGTAAATGAGCTGCGTAAATTACACCCGTTC